ATTAATTAACATAGCTACAGAGGATTCAAAGCATTTTTGGGCGTTATTTCTCATTTTTGTTAAAAATGAAAGCTACGTCCGGTCAAACAGGACGGAAGACCTACTCGTTGCTTGCAACGAGCTTTGCTCTAGTTATTATTATTTTTTTCTTACCGATTTTGTGCACGCGGTTCTCGGAAACGATTTGGTCGATTTTCATGAAACTTTCAGATCTGATAGATATTGGTCTGAACCTTATTGGAAATTTTTTATATGTACGTCGTCACTTCCGGTCGTTAGATATGGACGATTTACTGATTTTTAGAGGGTCAGCTTGTCCTGGCAATCACTAAAAACGAATGAAGATATTGACTTGAGATTTTCAGTGAAGGTAGAGGAAGGTTTGCTGAATTGCTTTCTTGAGTCTATATCTTTCTATCGCAAAAGGCGTTGAAGCTCGCCTGAGCTCGTTATTATTATTATTTTTCTGACCATCTAATTTTGTGCAAGCGATTTCTCGACGACTACTGGATGGATTTTCATGAAATGTGCAGGAACAATGTGTTGTTATCTGAAGTTATTTTATCCAAGAGATTTTTTGGAAATTCCTTTCTGGTGCCAAGTTACGGACAATCTTCTGATTTTTAAGTGACATTTTGTTCGTGGATAATCTCAAGAACGGTAGAAGATATCACTGTGAAACTTTAAGGGATTATAGATCGTGATAAGTACTATCTAAGACGCAACCTTTTGTACGTCGTTTCAACTTCCTGTCGTAACGGCATGCAAATTTAAAAAAGTCAAATTTTTAAACTTTTTTGTTTTTCAATATTTTCAAATTATATTAGTATGTTTGATAGAAACATTTCTTATTAGGCTGAATATATAATTTGTTTGTGAATTGATAAATTTAAACTCGAGATATTAACATTCAAAAACATGAAGCGGGACCAAAATGGCGGCGGTCTCTGTCAATTCCGACATTTCGCAATAGGGGTTTACAGAGGCAGCCGAGCGTTTGCTTGAATGAAAGTAACATTAGTAGCAATGAAATGTGTAGGGATGCTTGGATTGTCACGTCGTAGGTTCGTTGCAATTCTTTGTCAAACTACATTTATAATTCAAGGTCTCCTTACAAGTCTTCTTTAATTGGTTTTAGGTTGTCTCTCAAAGTAAAAATAGAAAAGAATTAATGTGCAAATTAAGTACAATATCTACTATCTTTTTTGTTTTGCATCACGGAAACACATAGCTTAAATCATAGTTATAATTAATAGTTTTTCAAGAACAATATATATAGTAAGTACAAAACGTGACCACTGTTTTCCAATGCACACTTGTGTCATATTTGAAGCTAGTCTGGGCTCGAAAAATAGACTCACAAATATCTCGCAAAATTTGACACGTTTTCTCTGATATCTTTGTACATGTACCTGTAAATTTGGTTAACTGATATATAATTAAAGTTGTTGAGAATAACAAGTTCTTTCATTTACATGTAATACATGTAAGAAGAAAAAGGGTCTGACCCCTCAAATAAGGGGACTAGGGGGACAATAACGTTTTAATTTATAACTCTTTAGCTATCAAGATTCTGATATATATTTCTAAAGGCAAAAATGTTTATTTTAACAATCTACAACAATACATTGAGAAAGTATGATCATACGTTACGTAAAAAAAGGGCCATAAGGAGCCAAGATGCTAAATCTTTGCTTCTTTTTATCTCCAAGGAGTAGAATCGTATTATAAACTATATACAACCATTCAATTTTTGCAAAACAGCCCCATTAAGGACTTGAAGGGCTGGCCTCTATATATTTCTATTCTGCATAGCTCAAAAACGAAAAGAAATTTCTGAATAGTTGTTGAACAAAAATCATTAAAGTTACAAGCCGTATCATTTGAAATGAAGAAAAAGGGGCTGACCCCTAAAATAAAGGGCCCAGAGGGGCCAAAAGAATTTTATCTTTAACTCATTGATGATATTATCTAAATCAGAAGAATTTAATCAAAAGAGGGAAAGCATGATATCATTATGTTTTAACGAAGATCATAGTCAAAATCATATCTCATCTTATCGAAAATTCGGACGGAAGACCTACTCGTTGCTCGCGACGAGATCGTTTCTAGTTATGTATTATTGTTGTATTTTATGTAACATTATTATGTAGTCGGAAAATAGCTCTTCAGAGCTAATTTTCTTTGTTGATATACCCGACTTCAAATAAATATTATCTTACTTATCTTATCTTATCTTAGCCACAATTTAAAAGATGCATGGCCACAGATTTGAAGTCAATATTTTCTCTATAATATTACGACTTAATTATTTTAATAACATTTCACATAAAATATATTACAAATCTCATTTCAGCTAAAAGTTATTAAAACTTCAATTTTTTTAGACAGGTTTGATTGACACATCTTTGCATTTTCACAAATTTTAACTTACTTCTTAATACTTAGGAACCGTTCACGGTAGCTCAGTCGGTAGAGCGTTCGCTCCGTGATCGGGAGGTCGTGAGTTCGTATCTCGGCCGCGACTGACCTAGTCGTTAAAATGGGTTGCAACTGTTCCTTCGCCATGCAAGGCCCCGTGTCAGCGGCAGGCGTTGGCACGATAAAGACCGACTCCTCACTGCTCAATGGCCCTGAGTGCCGAGTAAAGGTCAAAATTTGAAGCCCTTCACCGGCATACGGTCACGTCTCCATATGAGTGAAAAATTCTCGAGCGCTCTACCGACTGAGCTACCGTGAACGGTTATCAAGCAATGAAACTGTTGGCATAATTGTAATAAGCACTGAGTATGCTACCAAGATTGTAAAATGCATGGTCCATAAGGGGTTCTTGTTCTAGGACCAGGCTATGTAGATCGTTAAAAATATTGTCTGCTCATAGGTATTGAACAAACAAACTAAATAGATAGTTGTGATAAGGAAGAGCACTACTTACAAAATGGTAAATTTTTTTACACGTTGCCTAGGTCGGCTATTGATAATATAAAGAGAATGCACTAATTCTATGATAATCTTCTCCTCTGCTCTTGAGTATTACTACTATTACGCCTATAAACTTCTGTATAATTATACAAATTTTGATGAAGAAAGATATCTTTTTCCAAAATTGTGAATTTCACGACCCCTGGATCAGGAATTGTGGTGTAAGGACGGGCGCTAATGATTATATAGTTGAAATGCATTAATTCTTTAAAAATTTTCTCCTCTGTTCTTTGGTATTAAAACCGATAAACTATGTACATAGTTTTGATGAGAAAGGAATATGTGGTGAAACCCTAACAAAAAATACTATAGTAAACTATAGTTAACTATAGTTTACTATAGTTAACTATAGTAAATCAAAGTTCCAAAGTTTTTACTATAGTAAATCAAAGTTCCAAAGTTTTTACTATAGTAAATCAAAGTTCCAAAGTTTTCACCATAGTAAATCAAAGTTCCAAAGTTTACACCATAGTAAATCAAAGTTCCAAAGTTTTTTCCATAGTAAATCAAAGTTCCAAAGTTTTCACCATAGCAAATCAAAGTTACAAAGTTTTTGTATGTTTTTAATAAGTTTTTTTTAATTATTAACCTGTTTTAAGGACGATGACTTTGGTTTGTTTGGGTTGATTTTTGTTGTTCATCTCAATTTAAATATTCAAAGTAATTAATTTGAATGCATTATTTACATTGAACGGTAGAAAAAAAAATGTTGACTGATGTTAAAAAAGTAAATATTTTGATTCTAGATGACGGAAATTTTTATCTTATAGTAATTTTATCTCCATAAATAATAATAAATATTGCTTATTTATCGTTGCAAGGACAATTTATTTATTAGAATTCATTTCTTGTACATTGTTCTTTTAGGGGAGTAGTCGGGTTTTTAAAACGTTCATTGAAGCTGTAATAAATCTTATTCTTGACATTTCATAAAATGTACGAAATGAGAATCAAAACCATAATTCCACGGGTTTTATAGTACTTAATCAAAGTTCCAAAGTTTTCACTATAGAAAATCAAAGTTCCAAAGTTTTCACCATAGTAAATCAAAGTTCCAAAGTTTTCACCATAGTAAATCAAAGTTCCAAAGTTTTCACCATAGTAAATCAAAGTTCCAAAGTTTGTACTATAGTAAATCAAAGTTCCAAAGTTTTTACCATAGTAAATCAAAGTTCCAAAGTTTTCACCATAGTAAATCAAAGTTCCAAAGTTTTCACCATAGTAAATCAAAGTTCCAAAGTTTTAACTTTGGTACTATAGTTAACTATAGTAAACTATAGTTAACTATAGTTTACTATAGTATTTTTTTGTTAGGGAAGCGCATAAATTCTTTAAAAAATCTTCTCCTCTGACCCTTGGTATTAAACTAATGAATCATGCACATAGTTTTGATGAAGGAATGTCTCTTCCAAAATTGGGAATTTTACAACCCCTTGTTCAAGCGTTCTAGCCTTAGGGTGGGGCTCTATTTATTACACAGTGAAAATGCATTAATTCTTTGAAAATCGTCTCCTCTGTTCCATGCAGGCATTAGGTATACACGATAAGTACTCATTTATAATCAGGAAAGGTTCCTCTTCCAAAATGCTGAATTTCATGGTACTGTGGGGACGGGAGGGGCCTCAATGATCATATACTTAGAATGAATTTATGCATTGAAATATCATTGAAATCTGCTCTAGGGTATTATTCAACCATTTATAATGAGCAAAGGTGCGTTTTCAAAATTGTCAAATATGTGACACCAGGGTCAGTGGTTCCTGTTGGGTGGGGCACTACTGATTATGTAGGGAAATGCATTTTTTCTTTTTCCTGTGACCTGCCTTCTGAGTAATAAAAAAGCATGCGAAGACTGTTGTTATGACTAGCAATGGTGCCTCTTTCAAAATTGTGAATTTCATGGCCCCATGGTTAAAAACACAAACCAAATTCAATTGTTGGAAAGTTCTTGCTTCTTATTATATTTTCTGTACTCTTTATCTAAAATGCAATGCATCCCGTATATTAAACTAAAAGTAATGATTGCATCGTATTAGATATATAGATATTTTTCAGGAATTTTAAAAATATTATTTTCTTAACAAAAAATTTTACTTTTTAATTCAGTAATTTATTTTATCCGGAGGCTTCTTTAACCAAAACAAAGCTTACTACATGTATTGCAGCATCTTTTAAAAACACCATTTTTGTCTGCAGAATACATGAGAGTTTAAAATTTAATTTCAAAGTCAACAATATTAAATAAGTCGGGTCACACATACATGTAAGGTAACTGTCTAATACAGGCTATTGAAAATAAATCTGTAGTGAAATAAGTACACAATATGGATTAAACTGCTATTTCTCTAACAAAAATAAAATATGACAAAATTTGTAATAAAATGTCAGGTCTGAAAATTAATGATCTCTAGTTCCTGTGTCTGATCATCATCTGAGTCTGTTTTAATGCTTCTTTTTCTCTCCATTTTCTCCATACTGGGTATTGATAACCAGACAATGCAGACATAGCATACAGTCCATTAAGATTTGTGTGGTGACAGTTGTTGTACCACCAGGCTCCGTGATATTCTTTGGCACAGTTACCACCACTCTTGTCAGTATCCTTATCTTTAGTTGTGAATTGATATCCATTGTGATAATCCATACTGTCACCTAAAACAGAAATTAGATAAAACCATAATCTGTAATAAAATAAAGCAATAATCATAGCATTGTAACCTCCAGCTTAATCACCTTTGTCCAGGATTAAAAAAAAAACCATTGTAAATGAATAATGTAATAATAACAAAAAATATGTAAGGTATTTTTTATGATACATACTACATTTCTAAGTTAAAGCTTGAATCAAAGCATTTGAAATATAACAGCGAGCGCAGCGAGCGTCGTGAAGCGACGCTTGTCACTGCGAGCTCTTAAGCAACGCCTGGGTGAAGAGAAAATTCGGACTACTGCAAATTCATTCATCAGAATTTTTTTCCTCAGTAACTCTGGACGCACAATGCATCATATGTTAAAGCTACGTTCTCGGGAGAATAGTAGCATAAGTTCAGCTAAAAGTTAAAACGCCCTGATTTAATGGATAAATATTGAAGATAAATAGTAAATGAAACGTTCTTCATTTATTTTCAGCACTTTTCGGGCTTCTTTTTGGTAATGTTCCTTACATACGAGGTCATGAAACGTCAGCGTCTAGACGCATCCAATGGCATGTGCGGTTTGACGAGCCAGAAAAATAATACGAAAATATATGCGCTTGCCATAACGGTCGCACCGTCAGCATATTATGTAATGGGTATATGTATACATCTATATAGGCTTGTTTTTCTATGTGCCTTAAATATATTTGGGCCTTAAAGATATTGAAGAGGTGTGTTTGTAAAGGCGAAAAGGTTTCAGTGAAGTTTTACATGCATAAATTGTATATCTATTTAATTTATTCCCAATAACATTCTAAAGTATACCTATTAAGATAATTTTTATCATTCTAAAATGAGCATATTACGATAATATCCAGTCAAAATTGTCTTCATAATATGAAACATTTTTTTAGTACCAGTCCTTTATTCACAATTTTTCATATCCAGTCAAAACAGAATTCAATTATCAACTGATATTCTAATCCCTTGTGAATACAGAACATTATGTAAAATTATTATGATTGATTTATTGTACATATTGTTTAACGTCCCATTCGAGAATTTTTCGCTCGGATAGAGACGTCATCGTATGCAGGCGAGGGGCTTCAAATTTAGACCTATACTCAGCACTCGGGGCCATTGAGCAGTTAGGGTTCTTTATCGTGCCAACACCTACAAGTCTACCGTGACAATGGACGTACGTTTTTAAGGTCAGCTCGTAAGACATGTGACTTACACTTCTAATGCTAAGCGCTTGGCGAAGGAACAGTCACTACCTATGTTTTCGTCTTAGGTTTGACGCGGCACCAGGGTTTGAACCCGGGCCTTCCAATCACGAAACAGAGGTTCTACCACTAGGCTACCTTGACAGGTTAATATCATTATGAGTAGACTAACCTGCGGTTCCTGAATATCCCGACACGGCGAGTACGTATTTATTGTATTTATCTCCCACATAAAATGTAGAGTACTGAGCGTATGCTTCATCGTCATCAAAACTTTGTAGCTCAACCCGGAGTTCCTGGTCCTTGTTCTTTGTCAGCTCATAGATTGCGTCATTTCCTAAAAGGAGGTTTAAAGACATATAAAATTACAATAAAAATCTTTCTAATACTTAAATGTAGTGTATCGGAGGTATAGGGCGGGGCTTAAGGCGATAGCGACAACCTGAGTCGGGCCTCCTCCTATATCTACGATATCTTATTCTAAATGACTTGTGACAGGACCTTTATTGACGATACGCGCGATGCTGATGTCATTTTCCAATTTATGTTACTGGCCTATTAAACCCATCAGCGTTTAAAAATAATGCAGTATTGGTGATTTTGGTGTATATGGGCAGTTTAGGAATAGAACTTTCGGATTCCGTTCAGAAAATAAAGAATAACTAGTTTTTATGGAGACTTTTTCGACGACTTTAAGCTGCCTTAGTCTATTATGATGTCACAATTACCCTTTGACGTCATCAGGAAACCCAACTTACATTTTAAAACTGTCGAGGTAAAACCTTAATTGACGAAAGTGCTAAAGTTTAATATTGAATGTAATTCTTAATGTTTTTTTGTTCAAATATACCCCCCAACACATAAAAAAAATGTCTCAATAGGCCTTACCGTCTAGAATTCATCCCCTGGCTATCTGGTTCTAGGGTATGATTTTGAAATCGAGGGTTGATTATCGCCCACTTTAAAAATTACTCTTGAATAGGATTTCATTTACGGAAATTCCGAACCACATTAAATTTTTAAAGGGAACATCCTACTCTGTGTAAAAGTTATAGAGTGTAATTTCCTCATTTAGAACAATTTTCTCCCGAGATATTGATTGATTGTATATTGTTTACCGTCCCTCTCGAGAATCTTTCTCTCATATGGAGAGAGACCATATGATCTACACTACATGATGGTGTAGGTATCAAATTTTGTCCTATGCTCAGTAGTCATGACTTTTGACCAGTGAGTTGTCTTTTTCGTGGCCTACTGCAACACGGGACATCGTTTATACGGTCTCATTTGAAGGTCTGGTCTCCATGTCCCACAGTGGGATTTTAACTCGCGATGTAAGGACTGACTCTAGAGCAGACGCTCTAACCATTGTACCACGCGGGTTACATTTCCCAAAATAAAATATGGTTGTTTAAATGGAAAGGGCTTACAATGTATATGTTGTTACAATTCTCCTTTCTTTGAAATATCGACCATTGAAGTTGAAACATATAAGTAATGAAAAATGAAAATTTTAGTATCACTTTTCTTTAACCATCACAATTTTTTTTTCAGAAATAAAATTTTATTCTTTCATCTTTCAAACAAGCTTCTGATTAAAAGACTGTAAAATATTTTTGGAGGACATATTAATTTTTTCCATATGAGCAAAAAGGATATTGATTTTGAATGGATATTTTGAATATATTATCAAATTACATGTACGGTTGTGTCTCTCTTAACTTCTGGTATGTAAATATTATCATGGAAATAAAAATGAGTCATTTTTCTAAAGATTTAAAAGTTTACAAAACCTTTAATTTGTATTTGCTTTCTGCTTTCAAATCTAATTTAACATCGCTCGGGTAAAAGGAAACATAATAATACTTCTGCTTGCAAAACGGTGTTTATAATACTGCTGTAGTTATGGATTTGACTTTCCTTCGATGATTTACTGAATTTAAATGCTCACTAAATGACATGCACCCTGACGCATCTATAACGTCATTTTGTTTTTATTTCTCGCACAGTCTTTGCAAAATGAATTAATCAACAGATGAAATTCTTGGTGTTCAGGAGGTTTTAGAGGGATATTTAAATCCTCATTCATATTTTGACACTACATTTAAGTAGACAATATAAAATAAACTTACCAATCCAGTAGTTGGAAGAGAGATCCCCAAATCCTTGTTTATATTTTGACCACGTCCTGTAAAAATCTGTAGAATTGTCCTGCGTTCTTTGAATTACCTTTTAACGTATTAATTAATTTTGAATTCGTTTCAAATTTGGTAAGCTTGAGTTATTTAAAACGTGTTTACGTACTTTTAAAGGTCTTGACAACAGCCTTAAGAACAAGGTACAGTTTCAATACAAATTCAGCCCTATATTTTTCTAAAATATGAAAGTGATATAAGAAATCAAAATTCATTCTTTCTGAATCATAGGAATAGCCTGCAGTAAGAATTCACAGATCGTTTTTTATATGACCTTTTAAATGCTAATTGGGATGTCATTAACTCGTGCATTTTCCCGTATTTTCTTCAAAAAATTCCAGAAGACATCAATTTTCAGCGGAATTGTCTTTCTGAAAACATACTCTTCCACCGTTGCCAAGAAAGATTTTGAGATATGAGATTTTTCATAGCTGTTTACATAATATATCCAAAAATTAAAGTGGGCGACGGTGGCAGATACTATTTTCTAAAGGAAAATTAGCACAGAAATGAGTCATTCTGAGGTTTTCTGCATTTAACTTAGAAATGTACCAAATTAATGACGTCATATTTCCAGAAAGGCCCCCCTTCATGCGACAATTCTTATTGATTTATTACATTTATCTACTCAACTATTGTTAAAACCAATTTTGTAACTTTTTAAGAACAGTAAATTTTTAGGGCACAATAATGCTCAAACCGTACCGTCCTTTTCTATATTTTGTAGGTAGAATTTAAAAAAATCTCCCTGGATTATTCTCTTTATTTAATAAAACATGTTTTACTAACTGTCCACCCTCCTCCATCAGTTCTCATGTCACAGTAAACAGACTTTACTTCATAGGCCACGGATATCCTGTATACCCCGTCCCTTCCTTCTAAACTTGGGTATTTCTGCAAAATGTCCCAACAATCCTTTGGAAGCACTGTGTAAAAGAATATTCAATGTAAGCTACACACGTACTCTTTATTGTAAATCAGACTATTCACGTAATTTTTATACCTTTAAAAATTTGTCCTTATACAAATCTTTTCGTAAAAAGTCTGACATTTGTAATGTTTTGCGGAGCGGGAATAAAAAAAAATCGATCCCTGACCGCTGAGTGAAATATTGGACATGTCGTTGAGATGTTGGACCGCTTACGTCTCACAATAAGTGGAGTTTAATCTCATTTGCATCCGTTAGTATTTAATAGTGACGAACCTGAGATTTATGTATTATGGAAGATAGTTTGATTCTTTGGTCAGACAAAACGCATGTTGACCTCGATAACCAGTCAATAAATGTTAATCATTATACCTCTATTGATAATACACGAATTTGATTGTCTGGTAAGAAAACTTTAAAACACAACAATGACTCCAAGGTGTACTGTTTACAGCAATAAGGACCTAAGAATCGTTGCACGTGGGATATAATGACCCGGTCATTATAATTAATGACCGCTAAAATAATGACCTCTTAATCAAAAATTCCTTATTGAGTGAATTAAATGCATAAAATGATAATTATTCGACAATGACAATGACAATGTCAATGATTTATTCTCTTAAATGTACAAACATACATTGTAGAGAGGAGGAAGGAAAAGGTACAAACACATACAAAAAAAATATAATACATGCATTATAAACAGTATAAAGTATCATGTTCAGGTTCATGTCAATTATTTTCATCTATAAATTGTTCGAGAAAACAAAAAAAAAAAAAAAAAAAAAAAAAAAAAAAAAATAATAATAAAAAGGTAAATAAGTGATCCAAAATCATTCATGATTATTCGATCAGCAAAAATAATTGTTAATTTATATTTTTTTGCAGAAAGCTCAACTTTGAACCCTTGTACCAATTGTTCTCTTTCAAATTCATTTTAATAGTCTATATATAAACAGAATGTTATAATATACCTTTTGACAAGATCCAGCTGGATACATTCAGATCTCTACAAACAGCTTGCAGAGTTTCATTCACAGATCTTCCCAAAGCGTCCTCTGTATATTTATAATGTTCCAAAAAACTGTTCACACTGCACTTCTGTAATGTTACATTTATTTCATTTATTTGGTTTTTGAGTTCCTCAATTTGGGGGATATTGGCAGAGACTGATTGAGATTCATTTAGAACCTTCATTTCCCTTATTGTGTTCTCCAATAGTTGGTTTTTCGTCTGCAAGTTCCGTACGTCCTTTGCCATTTCACTAAGTTTCGCCTTTATAACTTGTCTGTCGTTTTTACTGTCCGCGGCATCCATTACCAGACTTTGTATTTTCTGAACCATAGAGAAGCGGACAAGACTTTCCTGATTCAGAATGTCACGTAGGACATTAGAAGTCTTACCAGATACAGTACTAGGGAGCAAACCATTTTTATCAGAAGCTTCGTTTTCAATTAAAGACGAATCACCAAATGTTCCATACATGAACATAGAAAGAATAAAACAAAATACTTGTAGAACACCCATCTTTGCAGTAAAGTATCGTTTTATGGGCGAGGAAGCCCTTTATATGTTGTGCAGCAATGGGTGTTAGCAATGTAATCAACTCATGAAGCACTGAAATAGTAATTGTTTTTTTTTTTGGTTAAAAGAATAATGATTTTTGACAGGCTTCCAAATAACAGTGTAGTCTTTCTCCTTAGTAAAACCAGATCCAGTGTATACTTACTACATAGAACTGTCACAGGAAAAAAAAATGACTTGATACTTGACTGGCTTACATAAATAATGTAATCTTTATCCAGAGTGAAAACGCTATCCTGCTAATGAAAAATAAAAAAAAATTGAATCTAAAAAAAGAAGAAAAGATATATTAGTGTGTTTGTTGAAAAGAAAGATTGATTGATTGATTGATTGTATGTTGTTTAACGTCCCTCTCGAGAATTTTTCACTCATATGGAGACGCCACCACTTGCCGGTGGAGGGCTACAAATTTTGTCCTATGCTCGGCACTCAGGGCCATAGTGCAGTGAGGGATCTTTTTCGTGCCAGCACCTACTGCGACACGGGGCCTCGGTTTATACGGTCTCATCCGAAAGACCGGTCTCCACGTCCCACAGTGGGATTCAAACCCGCGACGTAAAGATTGACTCCTTACTTCACGACTCTAGAGCAGACGCTCTAACCACTGCGCCACGCGAGCGACTGAAAAGAAAGAAAAATGATACTTGAAAATTGGTAATTGAGAAAATTATTCACAACATTGTATGTTTAATCTGATAGAGTACTTGGTAACAAAATATAACTGACTAAAGTTCCATTCATGTAAAGCGAGTGTTTTTATGTAATACTTCTACAGCTCCTTACTGTCAGTAACCTTTCATACTTAAATAGGTTACATAAAAATGACCGTTAAATATTTGATAATAAAATTACTTGATTCAAGATATGTTTTCAATTTAACTTTTAACCATATACAGGACCAATGGCAGATGTGACCGCAGCATAATGCTCACTTCTCCTATACATGTATTTTCCCTGTAAGAATGAACATTGTCCATTATCCCCAACCTTCAAACCTTGTGACATTGTAAGGAATACACATTCTAATTTCTTAATATGAAAACAAAGACCTTACAACTGAAATGAAACACCTTTGTCAAAATACGACCCTATGATTAGGTGTACTAACAACGTCATTTGACATATGAATATAACTAAATATTGCTCATTTAAAAAAGTCTTCAAAATCTGAACGTCGTGTTGATGGTCACAGTAAGTGTTGTTTTTTTTCTTTTCATTGAGATAAATTAAATAAATTCGGCTCCATAGAAGTATAGAAAATCAACTTATAAAGGACCAAAATCATTGCCCATCGAATTTCTGAGGATGTTGGAAGACCTGTTCACCGAAGACTACATGAATATTGTAAATGAGAAAGTGCCGGATCCTTTATTATCAATGTCTGTTACTGCCTTCTGAAAAAAATGGCGATTTTAAATTTTCTAAAAGTACTTTTGGCATTTTTGAGAATGCACATCTGATTTACACCTCTTCTTGAATATTCTGAAGTAAAGTAAATAGAGAATAATACATACCCTTTTCCATATCTCATCCTGTATAAGCCCGAGACACCAATATCAGCCAGAGGGCTGAGGGCTGATATTGGTCGAGGGCTTATACAGGATATGATGTGGAAAAGGATATGTTTTATTTTATTTATGACATACTTAGTAATAAAAAAAACAGTAATAGTAATAAAAAGCTATAGTGACATCAGCCATATCGCATATGCAAAAATCCTGTATGTAAGTATGTAATAAATCTGAAGATTCTCCCTTACAGAAGTTCATATTTTTAAAGTAATTCAGATTAGGGTTAGTAGAGCATTTACTGGATTTGGCAATATTTCATTTTTTGGGGGGATTTTTATGAGGTTTAGAAATTTAGTACGTATAAGTCAGGTAGATTTAACTCACCTGCCTAACTGCAATGTTAAAAGTTGTGATTTCGAGGAATTTCACTCTAGAAAGTGAACTACGAATATTTTCAGGCCTAATTCTATAGTACGGTTAGACGATGAACCTTACAAATAAAGACGATACATCGTCAAACCTTGTCAGCTGTAACCATTACACATTGTTCAAAAAGTTTAATTAATTTTTTTATCACGTCCGATTTAGTGAAAACGGATTGATAGATGGTTTGCATAATGCCTTTCAAAGAAGACGATATGCTTTAGCTTAACTAGTATTGGGACAATTCTAGTAAAGATAAACTACTAAAAATTTAATATTTTTTGAAAAAATTTTGAAACTGGGTCAAATATTTGATTTAGTTGAGGTAATTACGAGGGCCGTTCAAAAATTACGCGGGCTGTTCTATTATTTACTCTCACATACGTCATATAGTTATAAAATTTCACAGAAATATGTATCTTAAAGATTCCAATAAATTTTGGGCAAAAATTCTGTATTTTAAAACATTTCTACTAAAATTATCGGGATGTTGATATCGTTGATGGAGAGGTACGGCGCACGACACAAAAATTGAAGCAGAAGCATGCGGATTCAAAAATTTAACTCATTGATTTTATAAAATTCGCGATATTTTTTAACAATTTTCTCAAATGTACCTTTAAATTGTTCTATTATTATGTATTTAGATTTCGGACGTAATATTTGAAGTTCTAACAGAAATATAGTGATTTTTCTCTGATGCAATTCCCCTGAAAATGACGTCTCCTGAATTGACGGCGCACCACATTTTGTAAAAATATGTGTAATGCTCGAGATATCGGTAACATAGATCCAAAATATGCACAATAAAACATGTAGTAAACTAGGCTACTCGTGACATTCGCCCACAAATAGCAAATTGAAATTTTTCGACAGTTAGACCTCTGCAAAAATACGGGAGGACGGGAAGAAGATTATAGACGCAAAGCTAACTTTATCCGGACTGTAAAGAACGTGATTGAGAGTCACCAATATCACACTATATCTCATAAGTAGTTTTTGGTTTTAAAACAAAAAACATAGGTAATCAGAGATTACAGAGCTCACCTCAACGAATGTTGTCTTTAAGTAAGGCAAAGTCACACAATTAACCAACAAAAAGTATACATTCAAAAATGAAAATATTTAAGTAATTTTGATCTGATACTTTGAAATAGACCTACATAAAAATTTAAACTAGTTCTTCTTCATGAAAATGTAATGAAAATCAAGCATCTGAAGCAAATTTGAGAGTTTTCATCTCTTGATGCAACATTTGTGCAAGTTTGGTTTATACAATGTTATATAAGCCTTATAGTTTTTGGTAATAGACCTGCAACCATAACTTTTACCTTGTCTATTATCTGAAAAATTTATGTCGAATTCAGCATCCGAAGCAAGTCCATTAGTGTGCATCCTTAGATGTATCATCCATGCAAGTTTGCTCATTATAGGGCTCATAGTTTATTGGAAATGAAACATGCATCAAAAACTAACATTTTCACTCATCTACAAAAAGTAGGTCAGATTCAGCATCCGAAGCAAGACTGGTAACTGGTAGTATGCATCCTTAGATGTATCAACTATGCAAGATTGGTCATTAAAGAACTCATAGTTCCTTGGTTATGAAACCTGCACCAAAAACTTTTACCTGTTCACTCAACCGGAAAATGTAGGTCAGATTCAGCATCCGAAGCAAGCCTGGTAGTGTGCATCCTTAGATGTATCATCCATGCAAGGTTGGTAAACATAGGGCTTAAAGTTAAGTACTTGCAAATGAAACCTGCACTAAAAACATTATCTGTTCGCTCAACTGGAAAATGTAGGTCAGATTCAGCATCCGAAGCAAGCCCGGTAGTATGCATCCTTAGATGCATCATCCATGCAAGTTTGGTCAACATAGGGCTTATAGTTACTTGGAAATGAAACCTGCACCAAAAACTTTAACCTGTTCACTCAACCGGAAAATGTAGGTCAGATTCAGCATCCGAAGCAAGCCCGGTAGTATGCATCCTTAGATGCATCATCCATGCAAGTTTGGTCAACATAGGGCTTATAGTTACTTGGAAATGAAACCTGCACCAAAAACTTTAACCTGTTCTTTCAACTGGAAAATGTAGGTCAGATTCAGCATCCGAAGCAAGCCCGGTAGTATGCATCCTTAGATGTATCATCCATGCAAGTTTGGTCAACATAGGGCTTATAGTTACTTGGAAATGAAACCTGCACCAAAAACTTTAACCTGTTCACTCAACCTGAAAATGTTGGTCAGATTCAGCATCCAAAGCAAGCCCGGTAGTATGCATCCTTAGATGCATCATCCATGCAAGATTGGTCAACATAGGGCTTATAGTTACTTGGAAATGAAACCTGGACCAATAACTTTAACCTGTTCACTCAACCTGAAAATGTTGGTCAGATTCAGCATCCAAAGCAAGCCCGGTAGTATGCATCCTTAGATGCATCATCCATGCAAGATTGGTCAACATAGGGCTTATAGTTACTTGGAAATGAAACCTGGACCAATAACTTTAACCTGTTCACTCAACCGGAAAATGTAGGTCAGATTCAGCATCCGAAGCAAGCCCCGTAGTATGCATCCTTAGATGTATCATCCATGCAAGTTTGGTCAACACAGTGCTTATAGTTACTTGGAAATGAAAACTGCATCCAAAACTGCACCAAAAATGTTAACCTGCTCCAAAAACATTAACTTGGTCATTCCTTTGCTGAAATTGCAGCATCTGAAACTTTGTCTGTTACAATGAAACACACTAAAACCATCTTCCATGCATGTCTAATCAATACAGGACACAGAAGTAATTAAAAAGAAAACTGCTCCAAAAAACTTAACCTTAACCTGGGACGCCGACGCCGACACCGACGCTGACGCCGACGCCGAGGGTATCACATAAGCTCCCCCAACTTCGTTGAGGTGAGCTAAAAAATGAATATTCTTTACTTGTTTAATAAATTTTAAGCTTGACAAGAAATGGTGTTTTGATGTTGAGTAGATAAGGTAACTCAAACTATACAGGCACTCAAGGGAAAATGT